ACCCCCCCTCCTCCGAGGCCACTCCCAGCTCCGCTGTGGTTCTCAGATTGCATCAACCGCTGCGCTCTCAGCGCTGCATCCTGCTTCGGACGAGTCCACATCCCTCTCCTGCACGTACATACGCATACTCATACACGTACACATACACGTCGACACGCCGCAATACATGCCTAGCGGCATCACTGCCAGGTCTCCTCCTTTCAGGAAGCCAGGAAGCCCAATCCCTCCTCCCCCTCCCCCGCCTCATCTTCATCTTGCCTCTCCCTGTCGGCCCGACCTCAACGCCTACACAGCAGTAGTCAACACTTTCAGGTGTTTTCACCCCCACACCCCACCCCCATCCCCCGATATAAAAAGAAGACTCGCGGGTGGCTCATATGTGTATGCGTATCTGCGTTGCACCTTTCCGGGAGCTGCGCTTTACCACCCTCCCTACGTGTCATAGCAATGGAGCACATACATACATACATACATAGCTGGAGCCCTGAGGGAGGGAGCCCCCGAGGGCCGCAGACAAGGGCCGAAGAGTGTCTGAGATAGACAGGGGGGTACCACATGCGGCCACACGGCCGGGGGGCGGCAGCAGCATCAGAGAGACGAGGGGGCGCGTGTCATTGCACACAGCAGCTGTTACGGCTACTGCTACTGCTGTTGTTATTATTGCTGATGTTGTTGTTGTTGCTGCTGCTGTTCCGCTGCCGGGTCTCCCTATCCTGCGTGACGTCTCCATTGTTGTCAGATGGAGCCCCCAGCAGCCGCTGCGCTTGTTGTTCTTGTTGTGGCGTGTCCTGTTGTTCGGCGTTATTTCTGCGTACGACATCCTGGAGTCCGGTAAACGCGCGTTGCCGCAATGACAAGTCTGCGTCCCCGCCGCCGCCACCGCGGCGGCGAGAAGCCCAGGCAAACCAGGGTAGTCCGCTTCCGCCCCCACCATCGCCGCCAAACCGCCGGCCGCCACTTCCGTCGACCACAGTGCCTGACGACGCCGCATCAGCGGCTCCGTCGCCGGCACCCCCCGTGCCGCCACCACTTCTGCCAGAGGAAAACGACCACAAGCCCCAACGGAAGCTAAGACCTCTGCTGCCGGCAGCCGCGCTGCTGCTGCTGCTGCTACTGCTAGTGCCGCCGGCAACGTTGGTATGGGAGCTGCGAGCTGCGGGCGCTCCACGAACACCTCCTCGTCCGACAGCGCCGCCGCCGCCGCCGCCGCCGCCACGCAGGCCGGCTTCCGCCAAATCCAGTAGTCCGCCGGGTGCCCCCAGGTGCATAATGACCAGCGTGGTCGCCTGCTCCACCGTCAGCTCCGGATGGAGAACCTGGTGGTGGTGGGAGCGCAGTTGAGAACAGAAAAACACGCAATGGAAGTGCGACGCAATTGAAGTACGGCATAAAAATCAGGATCAATGTACGACAGTTTCAAGAGGGAACATCGTTATGTTTTGTCATGTTTTGTCATCGCATGTCATGTCATGTACGGCTACCGGGGGTGATAGCAGCCCGCCTCCCCCCAGGGGGTGGGTGGGTGGGAGCCACCTGGCGGGGCATTGTACGACACCACGTGCCTGCTCAGCGGAGGCAGACAGATATACATGGGGCATAGGACGACAGAGGTACCCCCACGAGTACGCGGAGGCAGACGAACAGATGAATGGCATAGCGACAGACATACAGACATTGAAAACGCGCGGGCAGGGCAGGGCAGGGCAGCACAAGGGCAGGCGACGGCATTACCTCCAGATAGTTCATGAGCGTCAGCAGCTGCAGTCCCTCCAGCACGGCAACTCCGGGTCTATCACCAACACCAGCACCATCACTACCACCACCACCACCATTACCGCCACCACCGTCCACCCGCTCCGCAGCGGAGGCCGAGGCCACCGCGCCGCCAGCGGCAGAGGCGGTGGCGGCGGCTCCGCCACGGCGGGCCTCCGCCGGCGCCACCTGCCCGAAGCACGGCTCCACTTTCACCACCCGATGTTCGGGGCGGTGTAGCTGATTGAAGCGGCCACGACCCGCGGCACCCCGGTCGTAGCAGGCCCCGCACAGGTCGTAGCCGACCACCTCGGTGCACTCCACACACCTTGCCGCGTCGAGAAGCATGTTCAACAGCGGGGGGGGGTAATGGGGGTAAGACGACCCACGACAGGGGAAAGGCGGGTCATGGGGTCGGGGTCCGAGCACACGAGGGCTCCCACCCGGGACGTACGGGGGAGGGGGACGGCTTACATACATACATGCATACATTCATTCATACATACATATACATGCATACCGCACCTGTATCTGCGGCCAATAATGGGGAACATTCCGCAGTCGTCACAACCCACGGAGTACCAGGTGAAGCACTTGTCCGCCTGCGCCGCCATCTCCTCGCGAAGAGCCAGCCAGATGTCGATGATGCTGGGGGGAGGTGGGGGAGGCGCGGAAGGGTGGGAGGCGGAGGAGGACAAGCTGGTGCCGTCAGCACCACGGCCAGCGGCGGCGGCACCCATAGCTGCGGCTGCGATGAGCGCATCTATCCGCGGCAACTTGGAGCCTGTAGGTGGGTGCGGGTGCGGGTGTGGGTGAGTTGGTGGTTGGAACAGCGGACTGGAGGATGCAAGGGTAGAGCCTTAGCGGCGCAGGGAAGCCATCCGTCGTGACATTGGGAGCCCCAAGATGTGTGTGCCCCTGTGTGTCGATGTGTGCCTGTGTGCGTGTATGTGTTAAGAGAGAAGGAAGGGAGAGACAGAGAGACACACAGACAGGAGACATTAGGACAGGCGGAGACAGAGAGAGGGGGAGAGATGCGCAAAGAATGAGATGTAGCGCGAGGG